GGCCCGAGGCCCAGGACCCGGCCGTCCTCGCCGGACACCAGGTCACGGGCCGGCTGCACTGTGTCCTCGAGGGAGTCCTGGCCCCTGTGTCCCTGTGCCCAGACCCGCGGACTCGGGCCCATGGACCCCGTGCGAGGGATGCCGTTCACTATAGGGGACCCTTTCTACACTGGTGCCCTGGGAACAAGGGGCGGACACTTCCCGTCTGTGACAACCATCAACGTGCTTTGGGGCCCCGGCTGGTGTGGCTCAGTGGCTGGGTGTGCCCCGTGCACCGAAACATGGCCTGTGTGACCGGCAGTCACGGGCCTGGGTGCCGGCTCGACCCTGGGAGGGGTGTGCAGGAGGCAGCCAGCTGGTGTGTTGCTCTCACATGGATGTTTCTCTCTCTCTTGAAATCAATAAAAAATATCGGAGGAAAAAGAAAAGCGTCGGCCTCAGTCTCCTGAGATGGGAATAATTCCTTCTTGGTGATGTCGCCCGCTGGGCTGTGACAAGGGAGGAGCCAGATTTGGGGTTCACCAGCATGGGGTGCACCAGCTTTGCGCGCACACACACCTGTGGATGGAACACGTGAGTTTCTGGGGTTCTGGGGACAGGCTATCCAAACCCACGGCGGCCGGAGCTCACGAAACCCACACCGAAGCTACGATTTCAGGAGCTTTTATTTGTGGCACCAGAGACACATTTTGGGGACAGTGCGGTTTAGGAGCCGTTGGCTGGACGCTCTCGCCGCCCGGGGAGGGTGAGGGAAGCCAGTCAGACAACGCGGAGCCGGTCCCGCGACTCTCAGGGCGTCTCACCACACACGCAGCTTCACGCCACCAACTCCTCTCCGTCTGTCCCCTCACAGAGCTGCTTTCCTCGCGATGACAGTATATGGGGGTACACGTGAAAGACGCCCGCTGTGGTTGCACATCGTTATAAACACTGGGGCCCCGGCCGCGCTGCGAGGGGGCTGCCGTGTGGTGCAGGGAGACGGGATCTGCTGGGCAAGGGCCAGACCGCTCTGTCGTCACGAAATGTTAGCCGATCGGAGGCCATCTCGGCGACACCCAGCACCCGCTCCTGGCCCCGTGCAGGTCTCGAGGCTGCGGGGAGGTCGCCGGGCTCCGTGCTCGGCCTCCCAGGGGAGGTCCTGGCTACACAGCCCGCT